CCAAACTCCTGAGAAAGGAAGGGCGCAACAGGTAGCCCTGGGCAAATGCCAGGGGTCTTGGGCAGAGGAGAGGGGGGTCTGGAGGTCAAATCAGTGATGACGGCAGCGGCTGCAGCGGCGGTGGTGGGCTCGACGGCGGGTCGAGGGGGGGTGCGGCCGGGGACGGCGACGGCGGCAGCAACGGCGGCGGCGGCGGCGGCGGGGGCGGCGGTGACGGTGGTGACGGCGGGGACGGCGGCGGTGTCGACGGAGGACCGGAGCCGGCGGGCGAGAGCGTGGCGCTGGGCGCGGGCAGAGGGGAGGGGGAGGCAGCCGGGCGAGTCGGCCGAGGAGAATGGGGTGGAGGGGGCGATGCGCGTGCCGGTGGCGCAGTCGCTTGCGCGCTCGGAGGCGCGGGGGCGGGCTGCTGTGCAGGTGGGAAGCCCCAGAGGGAAAGCGGAACGCCGCCGACTCCGGAGGGAGCTGGAGGCACGGCGGGGGCAGACCGCGGAGCGGCAGCGGCGGGCGCAGCACTCGTCGGTAGTGGCGGTGGGTTGGGAAACGACGTCGGCAGCGGCGGTGGGTTGGGAAAGGACCACAGCGGCATTCTTCGTTTTCGTTGACTCGTCGACCCCCCCTTTTTGTGCACGGCGGTCTGCCATGCACGCCGTTCACACAAAAACACGCCATTCACACTTCGCCACAATTGAGACCCCGGGGGGGGGCCCAATGCATATGACAGCGGGGGACTCCCTGGCCTCCCCTTTCCGGGGCCCAGGAGGCGCCTTTCTCCAAAGAAGGGGGTGTAGCAACCTTTTTTCGGGGGAAAATTTTAATTTCTGGAGACGTCCGCTTTTGGCCCTGAACGTAATGTGGCCCAAAAAGGCGTTGATTGGGCCCCCCCCCCCCTCCCCATAGAATGCCCCCCCCCCCCCCCGCCCTCCCCCCCCCCAGGTTCAACTCCGTAAATGGATCAAGGCTCACGAGGCGAGCAAGTCCCCGCCGAGCACCCAGGCCGTCGGCGTCGGCTCACCGAGCTGCGCCAGATGCCTGCGCACGCTCGACAACGTGAGCACGGTGCACGCCGTTCCTTTACCAACCGCCATCGCCTGCAGCATCCCTCTGGGATACCCCTACTTCATGGGCTTCGCTGCGCCTCAACAGGGCTACCAAATCAGCCCCGGTGCCTTGGGGCAGATCTCCGGCTCGCTGTCACGCAGTGCGCCAGCACCTTCGCCTGCCGGCCTCCTGACGCACCAGGCCGTCGCTCTGCCACCAGACCTGGGAGGCATCCCCCTCGCCACATTCCGCTCTCTGGCAGCAGCTGCGCCCGCAGCGGCTCCTGCATGTACGCCGCCTACACCGCCGCCTCTACCGCCGCCAACGCCGCCGACAATGGCGCACGCGCTGGAGCGCTGGTGGACGCGCGCCGAGGAGCTGGAGCTGCTGCGGCCCAGTGACAAGGCTCATTTGGAGGCGGTGATGGCTATCCTCGCTATGTCTGCCTGAGCTGCATCGGGCATGCTTGTGGAGCAGCAGCACGTGCTCTGGTGCAGATGCGCTTCGCTCTAGGCTTCGCTGGTCCGTCCATCAAGGCGGAGCTGCGCAGCCGCACGCACCGAGACGCACATGCCGGACGGCTCCATCGACATCACCGACTTCTCCGCCGGCCGCAGCCTTGGGCTGCAGCAAGCGGCGCCGGTGCTATTTCTTCTCTCCACCACCACTTGCTCTACCGCTGTACAATGCTCTCTACCCCTGTACAATCCATGAATCAATGGTGGCGTGCCCACCCGAAACCGTGCGCGGTCGCTGCTCCGGCCTGCCGTGTCGCTCGGCCCAAGCGGGGCGGGTGCCACACACGCCGACGCCTTCTCTCCTCGGTTAGCGCGGCGGGTCTTACAGACCACGCCTCCCTCTCCCCCTCGTGGGCGCAGTGCTACACAGTCACAGAGCGACCTCTTCCACGTTTTTCCTTCACCGGTACCGCTCTGCAAAATTTGATACATAGACTAACATCGATGGTTCTTTTGGGGCACAGCTTGTATGAAGTAGGGGTATCCCTGCCTCGCTAGGCTTGAAGCGACTCCCTGGGTAGAGGCCTGGGTAGAGGGTCGACAGTGTCCTCATCTGTCGATTTCGACTCGACGGCGGCATGGAGGCATCACGTCTCCATGCCGCCGTCAAAAGTCGGAGCCAGTGTCTGCGCGGCGACCACAGCACTCGCAGGAGGTACATCTACATGCGAGCTTTTCAGAGTCAAGCGATTGCGCGAAATCCCACCCTAGTGGATTTTGGCGCGCTGTGGGCCCCCTAGCGGGGGCGCGTGAGTGTGGCACACAGAGTCGCCAGAGACGAGACCGTCCCGCGTCCGCCACACGGCAGGGCACACGCCGACACCATTCTCCCAGTCCGAATACGGCACCATATGGTTTACTCGTACGCACTGGACTGGCTAGCCGACTGTGCGCATGGCGCGACATGTCATCTAGTCATTAATCATGGGTCATGGCCACCGGCCGGAGCATGCAATCCAACACAGAGAGAGGAGCAGCAATGCACGGGTCCCGGCCCAGACTCCACCTCGCTCCCCGGAGCTGCTAGGCGATGGCGGCGGCCTCCTCGAGCGGCGGCGGCTCGTCTCCCCTCGCCACGGCGGCTTGCCGCTCCAGGTCGCGGACCGCGCCGTGCTGCGAGGCGGCGTCGATCTGCTGCAGCGACGACCCCGGCGCGACAAACATGAGGCTGCGCCAGTCCGCGCCGGTGCTCATCATCTTCAGCACAAGCACGCGCAGGTCGTAGAGCGTGAGCGAGTCGGGCAGCGCCTCGGGTGCGCGGCCGGAGATGCGCCAGCACGAGGCGAGGTCCTCGCGCCGGAAAAAGACGGGCGCGACGGAAGGCGACTGGAGCTCCTCCATCAAAAAGACGGGGAAAGCGCTCGTGCGAGCGTTGAGCGCCGCGGCCGCCCGCTCCGGCAGCGGGCTGAGCACGTCCCGCACGGAGCGCAGCACCGCGCTCGAGGCCTGCAGCCGGAGCGGCATCGAAGGCAGCCCGGTGCCCCAGCCCTCGCTCATCGCGAGCGCGGTGCCGAGCGGCGTCGTCCCGAGGCTGAGCTGGCGGCCCGGCTCCCTCGCCGCCACGATTGCCAGCGCGACGCGGGCGTCGTGAGGGTCGGCGTACCAGCACAAGCAGGCCTCGCCGCCCTTGCCCGGTGTGGGCACGATGTCTCCGGTCTCGTCGTCCACAACCTTGAAGGCGGGGACCGTGTTGAGCTTCTCGACAACCTCTTGCACCTCGAGCGGGCGGGCGTGGTGCTCAGCATCGGTGGATCCTTGGTGCGCCTCACCATCCGACGCCCGGCGGGCGTGCTGCTCCTCAGCATCCTCCATCCGAGAAGGAGCCGACATGCTTCTCCCGCTGTATTTCTTTTTCTGTGAGTTTTAAGAATTCTTTTTCGGGTGTGTAGCTCTAAAACGAACCCGAAGGTGAACTGCTGACAGGGTTTGCGATGAGGAGCGATCCGAACGTGGTATTCGGGTGATCACTTGAGCACTTGAGCACTGGATGGAACAGGCTTCAAGCCGGTCGGATAAAGCATGTGCTGGGCCCTTACGCGACGTGCACCGATGGCACTACGCGTGGCTCCCCACTGAGTGGACCACGGTGCCCTTCACGTGGCAAGCAATGGCTCGGTAAGGTAAGGTGAGGTAAGGTAAGGTAAACTTCTCCACACCACCTGACAAGAACCCCAGGAATTGCGACTCGCCGCTTTCCTCCCGCTGTGATTCTGTGTGAGCTCTGTGTCTTGATTTGCCAACAATATACCTAACACACACGAGGTGGTGGGGCAAGGGGGGGCAACCCTCGCGTCTCCACGTCTAACGACAGGAGCCCCACGGTACGCTCGAGTACTCGTACAGCGATGTGCAACGGTTGCCACAACCTTTGATTTTGGAGGTCCCGCCACCACAACTGCCATGTCGGCTGGTTGTCGGCTGCGGCTCTCGCCCCGCTGGCGGCGCGGTCCAGTGCCGCGTCGCCCAGCCCTCCTGTGGGCCCGCGGCGGCGAGCCGCCGCGGTTCTACACAATGTGTCCGGTCCGGGTTTGTCCCGGCGTACCGCCGGTGCCGCTTCTTCGCCGAAATTTTGCTCGACCAGTTTGTCGACAAACTTGTGCCAGAGATCCTGCTGCTCGACTGCGCGGCGGAACCGGCCCATCGCGGCCGAGGTGTGATACGCCAGAACCGGGGCAACAACGCGGGACCGTCTCCGGGCCGTCTCGGGCAAGTTCAAAATTTGACCTCGACACCCTGCGGCTCTTTGAACTCAACCTCACAGCCCGCTGCGCGGCTCTCCGAGAGAGGTCGTCTACGAGGCGGCGGCGAGCGCATGCGGCGCAGGCGGCGCAGGCGGCGCAGGCGGCGGCGGCGCGGCGGCGCGGCGGCGGATCGCGGCGCTGACAACGGCGGCAGTTTGCGGCTCGACAGCAGCTGATGGCCAAGCCTTCCCTCCCCTCCCCTCCTGGAAGCATGCTTCGCGCGTGCTGTATTTCTTTTTCGAGTGTTCTGCTCTAACTTCGAACCCGAAGGTGAACTGCTGACAGGGTTTGCGATGAGGAGCGATCCGAACGTGGTATTCGGGTGAGCAGATCACTATCGCCGAAACGAGCACTGCGACGCATCGGGCTCATGCTACATGTTGTAGCATCCACCTCGCGGGCCGATGTTCACAAACAGACGTTCGGCGGCGGCTTCTCGCCCACCGCCGTTCTCAAGCTGCGCCGCCTCGCGCGCAAAGTCGCGCGTGGCAGCGTTGACCGCACAGCCTACTCGCCCAAGCACTCGCTCTCTTTTATGTCCCTTGGCGGAGAAGTCACCATTCGATAGCTTCTGCCCGTAGGTCGCCGCTGCCTGCCCGACACAGGCTTGGAAGGCGCAACGCTCCTTACGGTAGGACGCGAGGAGCTCGGCGGTGGCCATGTACCGCTCCCCTGCGCCGTGCAGATCAGAGGCGAGCCTGGCGATGACTCCAACATCGTTGGGCATGAGCGCGGTTGCGCCTTCCCCAGCGCACTGCACGAACTGTTGCACCTGCAGCTGCAGCGCCTCCACGCCGTCGGTCGAGAATCCCGTGACGTCCTCGGCAGGGACGTAAGATCGCATGCCCGTTCGGGCGTCAAAAGATGGTTGCGTGGTGCTCAAACCAGGAGGCGAGTCCACTGCGGATGGCTTGATCGCTGCCACGTTCAAGTCAAACCCTTTCGGGTCCAGTAAGGCTTCCGCCGAAGGAGGGCTCGCCGGCAGCCCGGCAGAAGGCATTCCAGCTGGCGTAGCCCTGACCTCGGCGGAGCCAGGCGACGATGGCTTGTCCAGCGCATCGGTGTCGTCCTTGGGCCCTGTACGCTCCAACGTGGTGTGGAGGTGATCAGTGTGGTCTGACCGGGTGGTATCGCCCCGGTCTAGGCCCTCTGGAGTCTCGTGAGGCGTCCCTCGTCTCTCGCTCGAGAGATGGTCATCTGGACCCGAATCATCGGTGCCCAGCACGTGTATGTTGAGTCGTACGCGGTCCTGCGGCTTGGTCGCGGGAGATAGATCGCCCGCGGTGTCACGGGCCTCCTCAGCCGAGGAAGACATGTTTGTAGAGAGTGTTCAAAGTACGAAGGTGTGGTGTCACACCGGTGGGGGGGAAGACGCCAGCTGCGCCGTGTTGTGGTGTCACAACAGTAGAGAGGTCGACTGTCTCGCGGGGCCACTCCCCACGAAAGCAGTCGGGAGACTATTACGTGCCAATATTTGGGCGCCTATCCGGCGCCCAAAGTGCTAATACTGGTGATCTAAGTGGCAAGACGTGCCACCACACGGGGTATGGGAATATAGAGATATGTGAATACGATGGACTAGTTGTCACTCTGGGGCGGGGAAGGGAGAATAATAGGTGAAGCCTCTCGATACAGGTCAGGCTGTTGGTGCTCGTGAGGGTATTCGTGCCTCACCTCCTGCGACAACAACTCGTGATCCCATACGTGACGACGGCACCCAAAGTGGACCGACACGTTCCGTGGCAGCAGCGGTCGTTGCTACTCTTTGTCGGCCACTTACCCAAACCACAATTCTCTCGAGCGCGCCGCGACGCACACCATGCGCTGCAACGCGTCGCGAATATCACACTCGCCCTCGGTGCAGAACGGATGTCGAGCAAGGCGTACCTCCGCGCGACGCAGACGCACAAATTCTGCCTGGTCGCACCCGGCGACACACACGGCACGCGCAAGCTGGCGGAAACGATTTCGATCGGCGCACACGGCGGTTGCGTCCCTCTCATACTCTCGGGAACCGCGTTGCCGTACACGGAGCTGGTCAACTATTCCGGGATCGCATATCGCGCGAGTTCGATCACCCCAACGCTGCTCGCGCGTCTTCGAGAGGTCGACGAGCGCGAGTACGCGCGGACGCACGCCATGCTCTCGCGCCACGCGCACATGTTCGAACAGCCCCGCGCATCGGACTTCTTGCTGCGCGCGGTGTTGCGGTGCGAACCGTCGTTATGAACTCACACGCCACCCAGCCGGCGGTCACGACGCCGCGCAGCTTTCATCGATGCGTCGAGTTGAACTCATCTACCCGAACGACCGCAGGCCGTGATGGCCAAAGTAGCTCAACAGCTACACGACAAAACAGTATCCGAAGACCGCCCATTACAATGGGTACCATTGCATGGCCAACGATCACGACGAGATACGGACCGCGGTGATCGAGGCGCTGACGATGACGCGCGTGACGTGCGACCACAAGGCGCTCGAGTACATGGCGGCGCACATGGACGATGTGTCGGTGGCGACGATGCGTCACAAGGGTGCCAAACGCCCCATGACTACTGACCAGGAGGTGCGGGACAGGTTTGCAAAGTACGTAGAGCAGGAGCGACGCCAACAAGCAGCGTCGCGATTTTTACCTCCTTCGGGCACCGGGAGCAACGTCTACACGCGCGGCGCTGCAGATGTCGACCATGACGAGGAGGCAGAGCTTCGCGGGGGAAAAAAGAAAGAAAGAAAGCACGCAAGGCAAGGGAGGGATGGGAGAACGGCACGCCGCCACCACACAGGGATTTTAAGGAGAGGGGTGTGGTGCGCTAGCCAGAGCTTGGGTACGCGAACAGTTCAAAATTCTTTCGGCGGTTGACGCTCACCTTGCACGCGCCGCTCGCCAGCTTTCCTCGTTCTGCCGGCGCTACGGCAGGGTATGATCATCCCGGTGCGCTGCTTTACGTGCGGCAAGGTGATCGGCAACAAGTGGGACAAGTACCTCGAGCTGCTCCAGTCCGACTACACCGAGGGAGACGCGCTTGATGCGCTCTCCCTGAAGCGCTACTGCTGCCGCCGCATGCTGGTGCGCGGACTCGCACTGCCCGCGCCGCCGAGAGTGTGGATCCCGCGCCCTCGCACCGGAGCGCCCTCGCGCGCGGTCCCTGGCAAGCACGCGCGCCATTGTCGGGGCTCGCTTACTCCCGCTGCAGCCGCCTCTCGCCACCTGGCTGCAGCCGCCTCCCGCCGATGCCCCGCCGCCCCGCCGTCGATTGACACCGCAGCGCGCGTCTCTTCCTTGCCCGTCCGGTCACGCCCCGCCCTCGGCCCACCTCCCGCCCTCCTCCCCACACACAGCTGACCCACGTCGACCTGGTGGAGAAGCTGCTCAACTACAACTCACTCGAGCGGGGAGACGCGGGAGGCGCCAATATGGACGATGGCGCGTGAGCCCCCGCGCCATGCATGCACGGTAATTTTGTCGCGCCGGATGTGTGTGTGTGTGTGTGTGTGTGGTGCGCTTGTGTCTGCCTGCAAGCTGCATCCGGCCTCCCCGGCGAACTTGTGTGTTGACACGGAGAGCGAGAGCGAGAGACGATACCCGGTACGTACTCTATATTGACGGATGACGGGCCTCTCTCCGTTAGTAGCTCCTCGACACACTAAGTGTCCATCGAGGCTTCGCTCCGGCTCGCACTCGGCCGCGCCTCCCCCCCTCCGCGCGGGTGCCGTGCGTCGCCGCTCGGCCGCCGCTTCGCGCCCTCGCGCGGCTTTGGCCTGTGGCCGAGCGGCGCGTCGAGCCACGCGAGCTCCGCCTCGCCCATCTTGGAGCGCGCGCGCTGCAGCAGCTTGACGACGTCGGCGAAGTTCGGCCGCCTCTCCGGCTCGGAGGACCAGCACCAGCGCAGCACGTCGGCGAGCGCCTTTGGCGTGCCGGCGGGGAGCAGCGGCCGCGCGCCGTTTTGCGCCACGACGGCGGCAGCGAGCTCGGCGGTGAGGTCCTCAAAGGGCACCTCGTGCGTGACCAGCTCGTAGAGCAGCATCGAGAACGAGTAGACGTCGCTCGCTCGCGAGCACCCCTCCTGCCGCGCCACCTCGGGCGCCATCCAGCGAAACGTGCCAAAATTGTCTGTCGTCGCCTCGTCCTCGAACTTTGCGAGCCCAAAGTCGGAGAGCTTCGCGCCCCCGCCGAGATCGAGCAGGCAGTTCGCCGACTTGAGGTCACGGTGCAGCATTCCCATCCCATGCATGTACGCCATCCCCGCGGCAACCTACGGAACAGTCTCGGACATGTCATGGACGCGTCCGTGAAGAGGTGCAAGTGCACGCCCTCCCCGCCCCGCCACCCCGTCTGCGACGCGCCACAGGAAGCGCGGCGGCGTCGGCCCCTTGAGCGCGTGCCTAAAAAGAAAAAAGAAATACATGCGATCACACAGAAGGACATCGCGCGGCGGCGTCGGCCCCTGGGGCGCGCGCCTTAATTATGAATGAGATCATTCTCAATGCATTCATTCGTACGCGCTCCTCAGGTCGGCCCCCTTGGGTCGCGTGCCGCACGTCGCCCCCGGCGCAATACTCGAGCACGATGCCGAGCATCGGCTCGGCGGCAACCACGCCCCAGCAGCGCACGACGTTCGGGTGCCGCAGCTGCATCAGCGCGGCAACCTCGGCCCTCCACCCCGCGACACCGCTCCGGCCTACTCACAGCTGGAGGTGTGAAGAGACGCTGCTCACACCTCGGCCCTCCACCCCGCGACACCGCTCCGGCCGTTGGTGGCAACCTTGACCGCCACCGTGGCGCCGCGCCACGACGCGCGGTAGGTCGCCCCCGCGGCGCCGGCGCCGACCCTCTGCTTTAGCTTGAGCTCGTCGAGCGAGATCTTGAAGCCTGTGGGGGGAAGGGTCCGGGAAGGGTCGGCGAAGGCGCGCGCTTGAGCTCGTCGAATCGCGAGACCCTGAAGCCCTCCGGCAGCCCGTCGGCAGGTCCCGCCTGGTTAGGGGTCGGGTCAGGGTTAGGGTTAGACCCTGAAGCCCTCCGGCAGATGGTCGGCAAGTCCCGCCTGGCCCCCTGCCTGCCAGCTCCGCCACGGCGTCGGCGACGAGCGCCACTGCTCGCGCCAGCTCGCCCGCTCGCCCGCCCGCCGCCGAGGCGCACCCGCCCCGTGCGACGGCGCCGCCGGGGCGGGCTCGTCCCTCGCGGCCGGTGCGGGCTCCGCCCTCTCCCCCAGCGCGCCGCCGTCCGCCAACAGCGCGCCCGCCCTCAGCGCAGCCTCCCCCGGGCCCAGCTCCGCCAGACGCGCGAGCAGCACCGACTTGATGACGGCAGACGGCATCGAGGCGAGCCGGCGCGCGACCCCCATCGCGCCCGCGCCGTCGGCGGCGGCGATGGCGAGGGCGGCGTCGCCGAGTGCGCGGCTCGCCTCGACACGCTGCGTCTCTGCCTCGGCGATCTCGGTCCGCACGCGCGCCTCGAGCTGCACCTCGACCACCTTGGAGATCGGGCGAGGTCGGGCGAGATCGGGCGAGATCGGGCGAGATCGGGCGAGATCGGGCGAGATCGGGCGAGATCGGGCGAGATCGGGCGGGGTTCTCCAACCCGCGGTGCGTCAGACTACGTGCTCGACTACAGTGCTCGCTGGCAATGCGGGGCCCCGGGAGGCCGCCTGCAGCGCGTGCCTCGCCTCTATCTCCGCTGCATCTCGGCTAGGTCTCGGTCCTGCAGCCCGTCCACTTGCGCGGTGTAGAGCTCCCAGCACTTTTGGACCGAGAGGGTGCTCCGCACGGCCTGATATGGGGAGATATGGGGAGATATGGGGAGATATGGGGGAGATATGAGGAGATATCTGCACCGAGAGGGTGCTCCGCACGGCCTGAGACCGTTAGGGTGATGACGCTTCAGGAGAGAATCGCTACTGCTACAACTGTAGTGTAGACAGGCTCGTCAAGTTCAACACGGCTCTCAGTCCTACTGTGCTGTCCTCACTGGCTTCAACGTTGCTCCATCTCCCTAGGGACTACCGTGAGGTCGAAGTCGGAGACCAGGCGCGACTGCACCTCTGCGAGCAAGTCGGACTTGAGCTGCAGCGCCGCAGAGAGCGAGGCGAGCAGCTCGCGCGGCGTCTTTGCCTGTGATATGGGGAGATATGGGGAGATATGGGGGAGATATGGGGAGATATGGGGAGATATGGGGAGATATGGGGGAGATATGGCGAGCAGCTCGCGCGGCGTCTTTGCCTGTGATATGGGGAGATATGGTGAGATATGGGGGAGATATGGGGAGATGGGGAGATATGGCGAGCAGCTCGCGCGGCGTCTTTGCCTGTGATATGGGGAGATATGGTGAGATATGGGGGAGATATGGGGGAGATATGGGGAGATATGGGGAGATATGGCGAGCAGCTCGCGCGGCGTCTTTACCTGTGATATGGGGAGATATGGGGAGATATGGGGGAGATATGGGGGAGATATGGGGGAGATAGGGGGAGATAGGGGGGATATGGCGAGCAGCTCGCGTGGCGTCGTTGCCTGCAGCTCGAGATATGGGGGAGATATGGGGAGATATGGGGAGATGTGAGCTCGCGTGGACTCGTTGCCTGCAGCTCGAGATATGGGGGAGATATGGGGAGATATGGGAGATGTGAGCTCGCGTGGCGTCTTTGCCTGCAGCGTGGACACATACTCCCACTGCCGGTGCAAGATGAAGACGAGCTCAGCGACGGCGCGCGAGTAGATCTCGCGCCTGAATCAAAGCATTCGCAAGATTCGGACTCCTCTCTGTAGAGGAGACGGCGCGCGAGTAGATCTCGCGCAGTGCGGGCTCGGGCAGCGCCAGCATGCCGGTGAGGAAGCCTGCAGGAAGGCTCCGAGAAGGCTCAGGGGAGGCTGCGAGTGAGGCTCTTGCGTCGGCGCGTGCGAGGACGCCTCGCATCATCGCCACCGCGTCCTTAAGGCGGGTGAAGATGAGGAGGGCGTGCACGAGCGGCGACGCCTCAACCGACAAGTCGTCCAGCAGCAGCGCCTCGTCGTGGGCGATGATCTCCTGCAACAAAAGGGGAGGCGCGCTGAAACAGAAGTGGTGCACCCCCGCCTCGTCGCGGCCGATGATCTCCTCGGCGATCGCGTTGTACTCGCGCAGTGCGTCGAGCGGCGCCGCCGCCAGCGCCGGCAACGCGCGTGGGTCCGCCTCCTCGCGCGCAATGCCGTTAATTAATAGCTAATTAAACGTTAATTAAACGTTAATTAGCGGGTCCGCCTCCTCGCGCGCAATGTCGTTAATTAATTAATAGCTAATTAAACGTTAATTAAACGTTAATTAGCGGGTCCGCCTCCTCGCGCGCAATGTCGTTAATTAATAGCTAATTAATAGCTAATTAAACGTTAATTAATAGCTAATTAAACGTTAGTTAAACGTTAATTAGCGGGTCCGCCTCCTCGCGCGCAATGCCGTTAATTAACAGCTAATTAAACGTTAATTAAACGTTAATTAGCGGGTCCGCCTCCTCGCGCGCAATGTCGGCGTCGATCAGCGCCCTCCGCCGCATCACCCGCAGGACGAGCTTCTCGTCGCGCACCTGTTCACAGCTAGAGGTGGGAAGAGGCGCTGTTCACACCCGCAGGACGAGCTTCTCGTCGCGCACCTGTTCACAGCTAGAGGTGGGAAGAGGCGCTGTTCACACCCGCAGGACGAGCTTCTCGTCGCGCACCTGTTCACAGCTAGAGGTGGGAAGAGGCGCTGTTCACACCCGCAGGACGAGCTTCTCGTCGCGCACCTGTTCACAGCTAGAGGTGGGAAGAGGCGCTGTTCACACCCGCAGGACGAGCTTCTCGTCGCGCACCTGTTCACAGCTAGAGGTGGGAAGAGGCGCTGTTCACACCCGCAGGACGAGCTTCTCGTCGCGCACCTGTTCACAGCTAGAGGTGGGAAGAGGCGCTGTTCACACCCGCAGGACGAGCTTCTCGTCGCGCACCTGTTCACAGCTAGAGGTGGGAAGAGGCGCTGTTCACACCCGCAGGACGAGCTTCTCGTCGCGCACCTGTTCACAGCTAGAGGTGGGAAGAGGCGCTGTTCACACCCGCAGGACGAGCTTCTCGTCGCCGCACCTGTTCACAGCTAGAGGTGGGAAGAGGCGCTGTTCACACCCGCAGGACGAGCTTCTCGTCGCCGCACCTCGGCCAGCGCCTCGTCCGTCGCCTTGCGCGTGCGAAGCAACCGCTCGCCAAAGTACGGGAGCGAGCCACGCGACGCGACCTAGATGGGGACAGAGGGGGAGATGTGGGGAGATATCGGGAGAGAGGGGGAGGTGTTGGGAGGTGCGGAGAGGTGTGGGGAGGTGTGGGGAGGTGTGGGGAGGTGTGGGGAGGTGTGGGGAGGTGTGGGGAGGTGTGGGGAGGTGTGGGGAGGTGTGGGGAGGTGCGGGGAGATGTGGGGAGGTGTGGGGAGGTGTGGGGAGGTGCGGAGAGGTGTGGGGAGGTGTGGGGAGGTGTGGGCAGAAGTAGCGAGGTATATGCCGCGGACCCACGCGACAGACGTGCCTCGCTCGCGCTGGATGTGGTGCAGCAGCCGGCGCGTCGACGCCCACCCCGCCTCGTGCACCGCCAAGCTGGCGCCGGGCGCCGCCTGCGCCGCCCCCGCGACCTCCTGCGCGGCGCCGCCGGCGCCGCCCCCCGCCAGCGACGGGCCTTGGGCGGCGCAGAGCGGCTGGACGAGGGGAGGCTGCCGTAGCGCGGCGGCGCGCGCGGCGGCCGACAGCGCGGTGGCGTGAGGGCGCAGCGTCGTGATGCGATGGACCGACAGCCGCACGAGCCGCACGGCGTTATGCCTTGAGAGGAGCAGGTCGAGATGTCGCCGAGATGTCGCCGAGATGTAGCCGCGAGTCCGCCGAGAGATGAAAGGAAATAGATCTGGCTATG